ATACCATGAAATTCACATACCCTTTTAATGTGTACAATTTAGTATGTTTTAGAATATTTGTGAAGTTATCTGTTACTACTGTTTAATTACAGAACCTTTTCATCACCCCAAGAAGAAGCTCTATGCCCATTTGTAGTCATTCCCTAGTCCCCTCTTCCTCCAGCCGCTGGCAACCACTAAGCTACTTTCTGTCTCTATGAATTTGCTTATTTTATACATTTTATTTAAATAGAAGTCATTTAAAATGTAGGCTTTTGGGGGCTGGGGACATAGTTCAGTGGTAGTGCACTTGCTTAGTGTGTACAAAGACTTGAATTTGATCCTCAACCATACACACACACACACACACACACACACACACACACAGCATTTTTGTGTCTGACTTCTCTCTCACTTAACATAATCCAAGGTTCATCCATATTGTAGCGTGACTTGGTAGTTTATCCCTGCCTATTAATGAATAATATCTCACTGTATGGATATATACTACATTTTGTTTATCCATTCATCAATTGAACATGTTAGTTTCCATTTGTGACTATTACCAATAATGCTGCCATAACTAATCATTTACAAGTTTTTGTGGGAACATGTGTTTTCATTTCTCTGGGAATGTACTCAGGAGAGGAATTACTGGGTCATATTGTTAACTCTACATTTAACTTTTTGAGAAATTGCCACACTATTTTCCAATGCAGATGTATCATTTTACATTTCCATTAGCAGTGTATGAAGGCTGCAATTTCTCCACATCTTCACCAACATTTGCTATTATCCATCTTTTTTATGAAGGCCATTCCAGTGGATGTGAAGTATCTCAATGTAATTTTGATTTGCATTTCCTGAATGACTAATGATATTGAACATTTTTTCATGTGCTTATTGGCCGTTTGTATTTCTTCTTGGAAAATGTCCATTCAAATCCTTTTCCAGTTTTAAGTGACATTATTTGTCTTTTTATTATTGTGCTGCATGAGCTTTTTATATCTGTATATTAGTTTCTATTTTGACCCGAATTGTGCCTCCCCGAAACACACTGAAGCCCTAACTCCTAGGACTTGTGAATGTGGCATTATTTGGAAATACGATCTTTGTAATCAAAATAAAAATGAAATCATAGGTTGAGCCCTATTCCAATATAGATGGTGTAATTATGACAAGAAGAAATGCTACCTGGAGGTACATACACGAGGAGAATGCCATGTAGTGACAGATCAGGGTAATGTAGTTGTAAGCAAAGGGCCACCAATGATCAACAGTCACTAGCAAAGGCTAGGATGAGGCAAGAAAGGGTTCTACAGAGTCTCAGAGGGAACATGGCCCTGCTAACCCCTGATTTCAGATTTCAAGCCTTCACAACTGAGGGAATAAACTTCTGTGGTTTTGTCATTTTCATTGAAAAATTATTGCCATTATATCTTTTTTTTTTTTTCTGTTCTGGAGATTGAACTCAGGTGTGCTTAACCACTGAGAAACATCCCCAGCAATTGTTTGTTTTGAGATAAGTTCTTGTTAAGTTGCTTAGGGCCTCACTAAGTTGCTGAGACTGGCCTTGAACTTGCAACTCCTTCCTCTGCCTCCTGAGTCACTGGGATTACAGGCATGGGACACTGTACCTGGCTTACCATTATTTCTTTAAAATTTTTGTGTTTCCCTATATTTGTAACTCTAACTAGATGTATTAGATCTCCTGGTGTTGTCTCAAAGGCTCTGATCATTTTAACCCAGTTTTTCTTTCTTTGTTCCATTTTGATCATTTCTATTATTATATCTTCAGGTCATTAATTTTTTTCTATATAGTGTATTGTGTTTTCAATGCCCCAGTGAAATTACTCATTTCATATATTGAATTTTTCTTCTCTAGAAATTTCATTGTTTCTTTTTTAAAATACCTTCCATTTTTAATTCATTGTGTCTACAAAGATAGACTCAGGTCTATCTATAGTCTGGGTCTGTTTCTGTTGACTGATTTTTTTTTTCCTAGTTATGTCACGCTTTGTTTCTTTGAAGGTCTAGTAATTTTTTAGTGGATGTTGGACATTATGGATATTATGTTGAGGGCTGGATTTTTTGTCTTATTTAAAGAATATTAAAATTTGTGGGCTAGGGCTGTAGCTCAGTGGCAGAGTGCTTGCCTCACATGTGTGAGGCACTGGGTTCTATCGTCAGCACCACATTAAAATAAACAATAAAATAAAGGCATACTGTCCATCTACAACTACAAAAAAAATTTTTTAAAGAATATTAAAATTTGTTATAGCAGTTGGTTAAGGTACTTGATGAATAGCTTGATCCCATCTGAATTTTTTAAAATTTTTCTTATGGCAGATTTAGAGTAGCGTTTATTCTAGGGCTAGAAGAGTCCATTCCTTTGGTGTGACCCTTGCCATTACAAGGACTCTCTAATCTGGCTGATCAGAATTCAAACATCTTCCAACCCTGTTGAACTCTGAGAATTGTTCTTCTTACAACTCTCTCATTCTTTGCCTGTTTTCATGGAGTTTTGTCCTACCCATGTATGGCTAAATATTAAGGAGAGACTCAGTAAAACCCTGTGGAGATTTCTGTTGTTCTTTCTCTGTGTGGATCCCTTTCCCCAGCACTGTGCCCCACACATTTCTGCCATTTTATTTTTCTGAACTCCTTTCTCTTTCTGTTCACTTCTTCAAGAACTGTTAAACACAATTGTCCTCACATTGTCACACACTAGAAAATGCTTCCAGGCAGTGGAGGAGGGGGAAAAACGGGGGCTTGGGGATAGGAAAGATGGTGGAATGAGATGGAAATCATTACCCTAGGAACATGTATGAAGACACAAACGGTGTGACTCTACTTTGTGTACAACCAGAGAAATGAAAAATTATGTTCCAAATGTATACTATGAATCGAAATGCATTCTGCTGTCAGATATAACAAATTAGAATAAATAACTTTATTTTTAAAAAATGGCTTACACCAAAAAAAGAAAGAAAGAAAAAAGAAATGTCAATGGCATAGTCTATTAAACCTGACACAATTTATGCCCCCCCACAAAAAAAAAAGAAAGAAAGAAAGAAAAAGAAAATGCTTCCAGGCAGAAATGCTCATGTAGTGCTCATGCACCATCCCCCACCTCTAATGGATTGAAGTCCATTAGAGACTGAGAGCAGTTTTTTTTCACATGGTTTCCTCCGCTACTTTTCTACTTATAATGGTGAGAAAAAGACTCATCCCCATTATTCCATGATGGCCTTTCTTTCTTTTTCTATGACATGTTTTCTATGACTGCCTACTTTTCCTTTGGAAGGTTGGGATTGAGGTGTTTTATTCTCCCTTAGAAATTTCTTAAGTCCTGTCCAGTCACATAAATGATGTCATCCTAGATCACTGTCTGCTTCACTGCCTGAATAATTGATAACATTTTCTAGTTTTTCATGTTTTTACCTGGATCTCTTTTCCAGGTATTCATAGTAACTAAAGAAATTAGTTTTTTAAAATATGGATCTCCAAGGGTATTTTCTTCTGTATCAGAGGAAATGATTCCTTAGGCCTCTCATCTTTTTGTAGAATGTTGGAAACCAATTATTTTCAATTTAATTTTATTTCTTTTTACTTTTTAAAATTTATTCTAATTTGTCATATATGACAGCAGGATGCATTACAATTCATTTTACACATATAGAGCTCAATTTTTCATGTCTCTGGTTGTACCCAAAGAAGAGTCACACCATTTGTGTCTTCATACATGTACTTAGGGTAATGATGTCCATCTCATTCCACCGTCTTTCCTACCCCCATGCCTTCTCCTTTCCCCTCCTCCTTCCCCTTTGCCCTATCTATAGTTCATCTGTCCCTCCCATGCTCCCCCCACCAACCCCATTATGAATCAGCATCCTTATATCAGAGAATTTAATTTAATTTTTAATAAATGCACCAGAATTTAGGGCTGGGGTTGTAGCACAGTGGTAGAGCACTTGCCTAGCATGTATGAGGAACTGGGTTCAATCCTCAGCAACACATTAATATAAATAAAATAAAAGTTCATCAACAACCAAAAAGTTTTTTTTTAATACACCAGAATTTATGTATTTTAATATGTATATCCTTTTATGTAGTTTTCCTTGGAAGCTTTAATCATGTTTACTAATTGCATTGAATAAAAACTATCTATAAATTCTCTTCAAAAATTGGCTGCATGGTTACACAAGACAAGTAGTTTGGCTTATAAAGTGAAACTTTTTTTGCCCCAAACTGTTGTACCAGTTAATTTCCAATTTGTCTCTGAATATATGTGAAATATTACCATAAAATCAAGTTCTCTAAGAAAGATGATTATCTTTTTTTTGGGGGGAGGGGGTATCTGGGGAATATATTTACCATTTCCAAAGACAATTTTAAACATGATTTCTGGTGTATTTTATGTGCATCATTTTTCAAAATAACTGCTCTGAAAGCATAAAACTCACTAGAAAGGTTTACTTGAATATAAATATGTGCATTTATAGCAAAACCTCTTACAAGTGTTAAATTTGGAAGTCATAACACAGAGAATGTTCTCTGGCTGCCTCAACACTTGGTATGCCTCTACCACTAGGCTGATCACTGTTCAGTGTCATTTATCTGCCTGTGCTCTCCCACTGTGATATTCTACTAGAACAGACCACAGGGCTAATTATAACATAGAAAGGCATAATTGAGAAAATTTAGTTTAAATGTTAGGAGCATACCCTGGAACCAGTCAGCCTGATGACCTGGAACAAATTACTTAACTCTGTTACTTGATTTCCGTATCTGTAAACTGAGAACAATAATGGCACCTACTATTATATTCCCATGACCCAGCAAAATACCAATGCATATTTTGTTTATGAAATACCAATGCAATAATTGTTTATGGAATGAGTGACTATATATAGGTGAATATATAAGCAAATCAGTAAGAAGAGAGGTCATTGTAAATACTCACCAGGATAATATTTTGTTAAATGTAGTTGAAAAAAAAGTATTACACACAATGTTTGGAAGGTAAAACATTTCATATGAAACATAAAACCAGAATGAATCTCTCATGCAAATCTCACTTTTCCATTCTTTCTTCTGACGTTGTAGGAAAAATGATAATGTTGTCCAATTTGCCCTTTCTTGGGGTATCTGGGGAAGAAGGATAATTATGGTATTTAATATTTCTACCCCATTTTTTCCATCTTTCATTTCATGTGAAATGAAGTCTAGAACAAATTGATTGGCACATAGAAGAGGTGAGATTGCTCTGATAAGTTGTCTGCCAAAAGAGAAATATTCTTCCTAAGGCTTTACTGAGGTGAGAATGGCTTAAACTTTTTGACTTCTTATATAGTCATTTTCTTTTGCTTTGATGGTGACATGATTGTGATCTGCTCCTTATTCCACTACCCATATGTCTACATGATGTGGACTGATGCAGGAGAGTGGCACCTGTGAAGGACAAAGGAAAGAAGCAGATATAGGCAGGGAAAGCCTTCAGATCTCAATGCAGATCTGACATCTCTTAAAAAGGGAGAAGGAAGGTTGGATAGGACCAGCCTCAGACTGTGGTGGGACTCTGAGAAAGTCTCAGCCATTCCAACAGGGAGTTTGGCACAATGGCAATCTGCAGAAAAATTTCACATTGGGTAGAAATTTCCAGGGCTTTATGTTCCCACCTTGTTCAGGTATCACTGGAAGATACCTGGAAAATATGGCAAGTATTTCCTCAAAGGGAGAGATCAGTGGTGCCCCACCATGTGGTCCTCTGTACCATAGAATTCTTGAGAAATGGAGATTATCTGGTTTATCGACCTCTGTCTGCGATCAATGTTATCTGTGACATTGAGTGTCAATGAACATCTATCTTATTTTAAAAGATATTCAGGAAAGGTCACTCAGTTTTCCCTAATGTCCAACAATTAAGTATCAGAATTTTTCTATGTCTGATCTCAATCCTCTAGGTTGTATATAAACCCGTAAAACAAATAAACAAATAGACTTGTCATCAAGACTCAAAATTTGTGTGGATTTCTAAAATTATGAAGCTTTCAATTTATAAAGCCGGCCAGAGTGGACTAATGAAGAGCATGGCAAATACATGTTCTTTCCCTTTAAAGGTGTGAACAAGTAGAAATCTTTAAAACTAGAAAAAGTTATCAGTGGATAGTGATCAATTTGAACTAAGTTTTAAATGAACTTTTAAAGTTTAATATTTCCTGAAGAAAGAGGAGGTTTAACTATGAATAGATTTTTGCCTCAAAACGTTCTCTATCTTACACAAAGAAAAAGCCTCAAGTTTTCTTCATCATGTTTGGCAGACTAGTGATGGTGTAAGGATAACTGTTAACTACAGGTCACTGTCAGCAGAGGAATTAAGTGTATTGAGAGCTGTAGTCTAATAAGGAGTGGCAGCTATTTCCCTTGAGCCTGTTTCCAGACTTGACCTAGGATGGTGTTCTCTGTGCATGGATCTTCAGCTTTTATTTATTTTTTTAAAGAGAGAGAGAGAGAATTTTTAATATTTATTTTCTTGGCAGACACAACATCTTTGTTGGTATGTGGTGCTGAGGATCGAACCCCGGCCGCACGCATGCCAGGCGAGCACGCTACCGCTTGAGCCACATCCCCAGCCCAATCTTCAGCTTTTAGATGGGCACTCAGGTGCCTCCTGCAGTCATTCCTCCCTGATGACTATTTTATGTTTCCTACAAAAGCAAGTAAAATGATGTTGTGATGGTCAATTTTGTATGTCAACTTTATTGGGCCACAGGATGCCCTGCTATTGGGTCAAACATTATTTTAAAGGGTGGATGAGGGTATTTCCAAAAGAGAATAGCATTTGGATCTGTAGTCTAAGTAAAGCACATTGCCAAACCAGTGTGAGTGGGCATCAGCTAATAGTTGAGGGTCTAAATAGAGCAAAAAGGTGTAAGGGAGAATTTATTCCCTTTCTCTCCCTGCATGACTGCTTAAACTGGAACATCAGTCTTCTATTGTTCTCAAACTGAGTCTTACACTGCCACCTTTTTTGATCTCAGGTTTTCAGACTCAGACTAGAACTTACACCATTGGTTCTCCAGTCCTCATGCCTTCGCACTTGGGCTAGAACTTATACCATCGTTAGTTTTTCTGGTGCTCAGGCCTTTCAAAGTGGACTGGACTATTCCACCAGCTTTCTTGAGTCTTCAGCTTGCAGATGACAGATCATGGACTTCTTAGTTTCCATAATTACATAAGACAATTTCTCATATAAATATCTCCTTTTTCAAATATTTCTCCCCCCTTCCCTTCTCTCTCTCTCTCTCTCTCTCTCTCTCTCTCTCTCTCTCTCTCTCTCTCTCTCTCTGTTTGGGTCAGGAGGGGTAGATATTGTTTACCTTGTTGTACAGTTGAGGAAACCAAAATCACAGATTCATAAGCAAATCAAGTCAAGATTTGGAATCTCAACCTGACTACAAAACTCATGTTTTTGCCACTGTGATTTTAAAACTGTATTTCAGGGATCCTTGGTGTTTCATACAAAAAAAACCTTCTAAGTTCTTCTATTTCTGCATCAATCAGTGTAGCCTCCACTTCTGTAAGCTTTGTAGTGGGTTTCCCCAAGAGAATTCTTTTGAAACAAGGGATAGGGGATTCCTGTGGCTGAAAAAGGAAACCTCATCTAGAAAATTGTTCCTTACATCAAATAAACTTCTGAAGATAAGACTGTGTTTCTTACCCATTTCTGTATATCAACTGATTTATCACTAAATAGATTATGATAGTGCTGTTAGTTTTCATGTTCTCAAAGAAAATGCTTAAAATAAAGGAAATACTAGGTACCTGGAAGGAATAATAATGGCCACAATATACTGAGCATTTATTAAGGGCCATGATCTGTTCCAGGTGTCTAACAAACAATCTCATGTATTCCCTATAACAGCCCTGCTCTCAAGGTAAATAGTATTCCCAGTTCACGTGTGAGAGTTTAGAGGAACTGAACCAGGAGTTGATCCAGGTTTATCTGGCCCTGAGCCCATTTTCCATGCAATTCCAACTCTTGTAGAGATTTACAGAGGAGATTTATATGGGGGGGGGGGTTATTATAACTTACAAGGGCTGTAGTGTGCCCAGCACTGCACACATACACAGCCTCCCCCTAGAGGTGATGACCCCAGTGTTTTACTCTTTAGGGTGCCTGCATTCACCATGGCCTTTGACTGAGATGGGGCAGCAGGGAGGCATAGTTTAGTTTAGAGCATTAAATGATCCCCAGCTTTCAGACAGAACTCAGAAAGTGGAACATTCTGAGCTGTTAAACTGTTTCTCCAAAGTCGGTGGTAGCTACCCCATGCTAAGGAAACTTGCTAACAAGTTCTTAATTTTCCTCTTTGTGCCCTGCTGGCTGACAGGTGAGGTAGCCTCTCATCAGAACCCAGAGATCTCTATCTCCCACTGTTGCTGCCCCTTTCATGCTTTAAACTTTGGTCACGGGTCTCATGAAGTGCACAAATTGCTTAAATGTATTAACTGTATTCAACATGTCACAAACTATGGTAAACTTCAAATATATATTTGTATAATATATTCAAATAATACCTTATATATTTTTATATATTTATAAGCATATAGATATGTTAGATCTAAACTAAATCTAAACTAAAATACATGAGTGTATAAATTTACATTAAATATGAATTATTTTTTCCAATTTTTTTTTCAAATTTTAGATATATTATTTAGAAGAACTATTTTTTAAAATCATCACATTAAAATACAGAACATTTTTAGCCAACAAAGAAAACAAAATGTTTCCATTTTTTTTTTAACAGTTGAGGTGTTTCCCTTACTTTGTGCTGAGGCATCAGGTGGTGCAGGGTGAGGCTAAGAAACTCTTGCTCTGAGTGTTGAACGCATCAGCCTATCACGTGTGGATTTGCAAGGGTGTTCACCAGTCTAAGTGTTGGCTGGTGAAGAAGGACAGACAGGAAAATGTTCTTCCTCATATCCTTATGCAATGCTGTAATTCTTGACCATATCACTGGACAAAAGGAATTATAAAAGTTACACTTCAGTTTTAGCATCCTTTTTTTTTTTTTTTGGTAACATTTCCCATTCTTTCTAACTTATCACTTTTGAGATTTCTATTCCTGTTTTATTGACATGGAACATGAGGATGGCAAATTAAGCATTTTGATTAATTCAGAACAGTTAAGATTCTGTATTTTTCCTAGTGCTTGTTTCCATTGGTTCACCTGCCAAACAACAGCAAAAGCTCAAATCCATAGTGAAGCAGCTAATAATAAAAGCAGCTGGTCCAAAAACAGAAAGGAGGTGAAGCTTTTTTTATAGGAAGAGATATCAGAAATGTCCTCAGGGAAGGATGCTTAAGAAATGTATAGTATTTTTCTTTTAATATTAAAAAATACACATATGCATTTTTAACTGGTGGTTAATTTGGATTAAGATTTCCATCTTAGAGCCTGAATTATCAGTAATCTAGGAAGACAGAAGCAATACCAGAATGAAAGGGCAAGAGACAAGTCAAGTCCAAGATTTGAATGAGGTAAGAAATAAAGATAAATTTTTAGTTACATTTTCTAATACAGGTGAGGCTAACTTTATACGGATGCTCAATGATTACAGGAAATAGGCAAAAGGAGAAAGCACACTTCTAGTGATGGTAAATCTTCATACTATGACTGTGACCAGTTGTTACAGGAGTGTGCAGGAGGGGGAGTAATCAGGAGAAGTCCAGTAAGAAAGAGCATATTAAAAATATTTTTAGGATAGTGAGCCAGGATTGTAGTTCAGTGGTAAAGCCATGCCTAACATGTACAAGGCCCTGGGTTAGATCCCCAGCACCTCAAAAAGGAAAACATATTTATATAGGATAGACTAGTGCATTGAAATTGTAGGAACGATTTAAAAGTATTGCTTCATTGAAGAATAAATGTGAGAATTTAGAACAATTCAACCATGATACAAATTAACATTTATAGAACATTTTCTGTGAATGAAGTGCCCATGTATGTCAAGGCTTCATTGTCCCTATTTTTCAAATGAGGAAACTAAGGCTAAGAAAAATAAAGTAACTAACTCAGTGTCCCTTTGGTAGTCAATAGCAGAACAGACTGGTAAAGCATACCATCCCTTATTTCCCAAGTTGCAGAGTGAAGATTTTTTTGTCAGTCTTGTGCTGCTTCCTAACTGGCCAAGCCAAATATGCAGTTAGTTCACTTGATAGATGATAGATGTGCTCTTGCTGTGGAAAGTATGGTCATCAAGAGAATTTGTTTGATTCTCACTGTGTGTTCACTAAGGTGCATTTCGATTGGATTTCCTAATAGGGTTTTATACACAAAAGAAATGTCTTCAGCAAGACTGAATAGAATAGATACTTTTATCCTAATTAGAATAAGTCATACTCCCTGTGTGTATAATATGTCAAAATATACTCTACTGTCATGTATATCTAAAGAGAACAAATAAAAAAGTGGGGGAAAAAGGGTAAGGGCTTTTAAGTTAAACTTGAGTTTGAATCCCAGTGCTGGCTGTGAGACATTGGGCAAATTACCTAATATATCTGAGCCTCACCAGTCTCCTCTGAAAAAGAATATATATTTGTTCCAATTTCACAGACATTCTGGGAAAACAATGAGATGGAGCATGTAAGGTACTTAACCCAGTGTCTGACATTTGATAAACCCTCAATAAATAAATAGTTGCTCCTACCATTATTATTCCAATTATCATCAGTTAATTTAGAAAGATTTCTTCAACACCTTATATTTGGTAAGTTTTAAAAATTTATAAAATACTTTCAAAATCACATTTTATTCCTACTGTGATGGCTATAATATAGGTAAGACAAGTTTTACTACCTTTAACAGTTGTATAAACAGGCTTGAAGAGACAATCGTATCTTATGAACTCTAGTACCATGAATTAGTTTTCCTAGTTTCACATGTTCCCTGCATGACTTTATAATTGAGTTACGCAGAAAACTTGTTTGTGTCAGAACTTATAGGAAACACTGTTATTGTATACAAATTGAATTATGTAAAATGCTTTTTATAGATACCGAAAATGAGCCAAGAAAAAACTGAAATGTTTGAAGGTGATTTTTCAGAAGAAAGAGAGAAGAAAAAGCAGTTGGCATCTGGTTTTATTACTATACAGAAGGCCTTGAAAGTTGATAGTGAGGTATTGCCACTCAAGATGTTTTTCTCATTTAGGGATTTTGTAGTATTATTTATTTTTATTTTAAAAAAAATCACAACTACGTATCTTAACTTGGACATACAAATGCCATAAACACATCCCATAACCAAATGCCACAGACTAGGTGGCTGAAAGAAGAAAAAAAATATTTTCTCACAGTTCTGGAGACTGGAAAGTTCCAAATCAAAGTGCTGACCCAATTCACTTCTTAGCAAGAACATCTTCCTGGCTTGCAGACAGACCCCTCCTGCTATGTTGTGTCCTCACATGATGGAAAGAGAGCTGTCTCTTCTCTTCTTTCAAGGGCTCCAGGCCTATCAGATTAGGATTCCACCCTTCATCCTCATTGACCTTTAGCACCTCCTTCTCATCCCCATCTCCAAATACAGCCATATTGGAAATTAGGACTTCAACATATAAATTTTGAGGGTGACACAGTTTGGTCCACAGCACTGTAGAATATGTGTTTCTAGTAGTAAGGGCCTAGTGCTCTTGTTTACCCAAGTTGAGACCCAGCACTAGCCATGGAGTCCTTTAAGTCACAGGTGTTCAATTATGATGTTCATAATTGTTCTGCCATCTTGGAAAGATCTATCAGTAGACAAAATAGGCCTCTATTTTGAAGAGAGACCTGGAAGTGAATTATGGAAGTCTAGATCCTCAATTTAGAGGATGTGATACTTATTAATTACTTGGCAGGGTGGGTGACAGCAGGGCAATGCCCCAAGCCCCAACCTCTAATAATCTACAGGAATTTTTAGTGAAATTGAATAGGGAATTGACACCCCTTGCTACCTTCCTGTGGTTTGGGGAAGCTAACCCTTACCTTCTTGCCTTTTTGCCCAATGTCATCAGCATTCCTACTCCTTCTGATCTCAAGGCTTTGGGAAAATACCAAACAGCTCTTCTCCTAAAACAAATTATACATCACCAGTTGGTTATCGGGCACACAGACTCTTAGCCCCTTGTCATCTACCAATCAAACACTACATAGTTCATGTAAACAATATAAAAATTATAAAAAAATCTATAACTAAATAAAGTATTTTCTTTCATGGGTATGAAATGAAAACCATAGGGTTAGAGGAAATCCTGGTTGATTAAGTCACAGAACATGTATTGTTAAGTAAAGCAGCATGCTTGGTAGTTGAGAACACAAGAGTCTGAAGTAAGACATGAGTTTGCAATCTCAGCTTTTCAACTTCCTGGTTATGTGAACGCTGAGCTTAGTTTCAACAAACATCTTCTAGGAGTGCTGCAAAGTTAAAGGTAAACCACACAGCAGCACCTTGTTCTATGAAAGGCAACATAGATGCATCCTTAAAACAAGATAATACAACTATTTAATATAGGAGTTACTAAAGATTTTATCTCTATACAAGCCTTGCTTAATGTAGGAATGACTCTAGGAATCCAATCTTACAACCAGTGAATGACAGAAATTAATAACACTCCGTTTAATGACTATTTAAAAAAAATTGTCAGGATCATTTCAAAATTTATTCTTGGAAATATTCTACCTTTTATGGGGAAATAGTCTGGATGTATTCTATAAAAATATCTTTATTTCTTAATAGGAATTGCAAAAGTCAAAGTCGGAACTTGCATGCCTTTATAGTGAAATTCAGAGCCTTCCAGGGGCACCAGAAGACAGAGACCATTTTTTAATAGCATATGACCTCCTCCAAAGAGAGAATGCTGAGTTAGAAACAAAGGTGAGGCTAAATTATTACCTTGCATGTGGGGAGGATAAAAGAAAATTAATTTTCAGTAAGAGATAACTTGGAAATGAGAGTTCCTTAAAATAAAGAAGTGAAAGTTTCTTTCATTATTATACAGTAGATTACCATGTACTGTAGATTACAAGTTAAGCTATATTTCAGGGAAAATATTTAGACTTCAACCAGAACTTGCCATTTAGGGTTAATTTGTGCATTTTTTTTGTTTTACATAGACCTTCCACCAACTTAATTTTTGGAGTGTGTATTATAGTATGCAACATAGGCAGGAAACATCCAGAACACAGGATATTCTACCTGGATATTACCCTTAGACATGTATAGCACAATCTACTACTAAGCTTTGCTTGTGTACCTTTTGTAGAGTTAAAGGAGCATGCTTTCAAAATATCATCAGAAAAGTCAACACAAAAATGAGGTGAGAAGAATATAATATAAAACACAGAAATATAGATCAGTGTCCTGGCAATCTCTCTCTTGTTTTTTTAAACTTTTTGTGATGAAATAATTTTAGACTTATAGAAAAGTTATAAAAACAAAACAAAAAAATTCCCCTATGCTTTCATTCTTCCATGGTACCATATTTTCCTCATTATTGTCTCTCACTTGACATCTTCATATGTAGAAAAACATATGTGTACACATTCTTACAGGTACTTTTTTGGTGAAGCCTGTGAGAGTAAGCTGGAAACCTAATCTACTTTACCTGCAAATATTTTTCATGTGTGTTTGCTAAAAATAATAATAAGTCTTATTACCTCAGTGTAAGTCTCAAAATGAGGAAATTAACATTGACACTACTATTAGTTAATCTACAGTTTATATTCAGATATTTCTAATTATTCTACTCTATAGAAAAAAACAATATTTTTTTTCTAGTCTGAGATCCAATTAAAATTAAAGGACAGGAAAATTAAATGCAATGTAAGATCTAATTCAGGATTATGTGCTTTAACCTGAAATGGTTCCTCAGTCTATCTTTGTCTTTCATGACCTTGATATTTTTGAAGAGGACTGAGTTTGGGTTGTTATAACAGAATACCATGGATTTCCAGTTTAAACAACAAACACTTATTTCTTACTGCTTTGGAGTTTGGGAAGTCTGAGATAAAGACACCAGGCAGAGCTGGTGAGGGCCACATTCTAGTTTGCAAACTGCTGTCTTCTCAGGGCAGAGAAGAGAGAGAAGATTTAGCTTGGAAGCTTATTTACAGGAAAATTCCCATTTCCCACTGCAACTCACTGATTCTGAATCTCAGGGTCAGGGCTGCAGCACAAGATAGCATTTTTATTGATACTCTAGGGTTCCAGAACCACTACAACAATCTGGGAGCCTCTACAAGTTCAAGTGTTTTCTAATAGATAGGGTCAGACTGGAAGAAATTTCTTCTCCATAATGTATATCTGACATTCTAATGTTTTCTTGCAGCAATATATTAGTGCCTTTATGAATCAATGAAGTACACATTTAAGTGGCAATCGGAGGTACCAACCCCAGAGATCAAAAATACCTTCTCTTGGGCTGAGGCTGTAGCTCAGTATGTAGAGCACTTGCCTAGCATGTGTGAGGCACTGGGTTCGATTCTCAGTACCACATATAGATAAATAAAATAATGGCCCATCAACATTAAAAAATGTTTTAAAAATACCATCTCTTTGTATACATTTAAGTCACCGATTTATAGGCCCTTATGCATATGGTAAAAATTGATTAAGTTATGTAACAAATAAAAGTATTAAATTAAGTTGGAATGAGGCTTCAACTTTATTATTTAAGCCAATAATTAAGCACTTAATGGAATAGTGTACTTTTTTACAACTGTACATAAGAGTATACAAAACAGAATGTTTGCCTTTTAACTTTACAGATCTTGAAGTTTTCACAAGAATTGGAACAATTAAATCACTTTACTTTAGGGGGAAAAACTGCAACTGCTAATTTAATTACAAGTGAAAGTGCTTATAAAGATCTGTTGTTGAAAGTACCAATTTTGGAAGTAGAGATACAAAGCCCAAAGGAAGAGAGAAAAGAACTCTGGTAAATTGAGAAAATCCCATATCACATTAATTATTTGTAGAAAGGTATGTTTTATTTGGCTTGATCATTATAAGAATTTGACATTCATTTTCAAGTGATCTGATAGGAAAAATTGATTTTAATCATTCTCCAGAAAGTTTGTCTTTGATATATTTTTTACATTTTAAAGTTTTTCCTCTTGCTTTTAAAACTAAGTATATGGTTTTTAGTGAAAATTTAGAAAATATGGAGAAGTATAGAGATATTTTAAAAACCCATAATTCTCACCATTGATGAATCCTCATTTTTCTTTCTTTTTTCTCATGTACATATTCATTTTTTTATGTATAACTAAGACTATATTCTGCTGGGTACAGTGGCACATTCCTGTAATCCCAGTGACTCAGGAGACTGAGACAGGAAGATTACAAATTCAAGGTCAGTCACAGCAACAGATCAAGGCTCTGTCTCAAAATAAAAAAAATGAAAGGGCTGGGGATGTGGCTCAGTGGTGAAGCACTCCTATATTCAGTCCCTGGTACAAAAAAAAAAGCATTTACTCTCCATAGGTGTTTTTTTTTTCTTTTTTGCTATTCTTATATCTGTTAATTAAATTTTAAGAAACTTTCTCTTTTATTTGTTTGTTTAATCTTTCCCCCTAACTCTTGTATTTCTATTTTTCTACCAAAATTATCTTTTACAGAAACCTTTGTGGCTTTGGGCAAATGAACTAGTCTGCTTTAGCACAAAAACAAATAGATAAAAATCAAATTATTTTATCTGACCAAAAGCCTAGAACTAAATAATTATAATAGATATTAATTTTTACTTAGATACTACATTAAAGGCTGCACTTATCCCTGAATTGGAGAAATATACTCCCAGCTGTAGCCAAATTTATTTCTTCATAAGTGTTCCAAGATAGAAAGAGATTGTTTTGACAATTTCGGGCCCTTGAATTTTATGCTCTCTTAAAAGTTGCTTTTAACTTTCAAAATCAGGAAACTTATTTGCCAAGTGGAAGAATGTATTGGAGAGTTGGTGGAGAGGAAAAAGGATAGTGTTAACAAAAGCAAAGAATCAAGAAGGTGACCACAGCATTTAGGTTTGCTGGAAGGAGCGAGAAGGTCTAGTTTGTGAGCACTGGACAGTATATTACAGGGATTTTGAGGGAGATTATCCCAGTGTTTCTATATTAGATGAAGTAGAGATGGAAGACAGGCAATATATAAGCCACATATGAAGGGATAGTGGCCTTGGTTGAGCAAGCAGCAATGGAGATGAAAACATCAATATGAAACTTTTCACAGAAGAGTTGACGTTAATGGTCAAAGTTGACAAAAATTTTCCCAGCTGATTTGGAGGTCATTAGCAGGGATACCCACCACACTAGGCAAGACTGGGGCCTTAATTTGTCTGTGAATGGGGAAGCCTTTCAGGAAAAAAGTGCTGGGCTTCTCTCTAAAGAGCTTCTTGCTGCCAACCTCCATGACTTTTGGTCCAAATCCTTTCCAAATGCCAAGCCTACCAGCAATCTGTGTATCAGACATAGGCTTCCCTCTCCCCTCTTCCTGCTTACTTCTTGCAGCCTCACCCCCCTAATTAACATCCACTTATGTCAGGTCCATAACACAATCACATTGAACAATAATTGTGCTAGCTATCATGTTCCAGGTACTTTGAAGATACAAAACCAAAATATAATTCCTATCCTTATGGTGCACATAGTCTGATGAGGAAGATAGTTACACAAAGCAGTATCGAATGTTTGGGGCATAAAGCAGGGGTCCTGGCTCAGGCTAA